ATCAGTCATTTTTTCGAAATGGAATTCGAAAATTGCCTGAGAGATGGGAAAAAGTAGTAACCAGCGATGGACAATACTTTAATTAATCTATTCATTCATTTTGTTTTGAAATAAATGCATTTTTGAACACAAAAAACGGACCGAACTAATTTGTACACCTAATATGTAGAATCCTGAAATTATAGTATATTATATATGTTACGTTTTTTATTTCATATTACGAGATCTTTAAAAATAATATTCTTTTATGCCTTTTTTTAGTTATTCAATATTTATTTAAAAATAATTAGATATATAGTTCAATATTAATTTAATTTTATGCAGATATTGAGCAACTGGCTCAATAACCTTTCATTATCTACATAGAATTTTATTCTTACAAGTCTTTTATCATACAACATCAATTATATATTAATTTTATTTTGACAATAATATTGTTGAGATAGTTGACAATTTTATTTTAATAATACAGAACCTCATAAAAGATTTCTCACGACTATTATTTACTTGCGAATTGCAAGCACGATCAATGCGAACAATGACCCGCATTATTTGAATGACACTCGATGAGACGTTTAAATCTTCGCTTTGTCCCTCTTGCATCAATTCTCTAAAATTTTGCCACGTTAATGAGCATATTGTAAACAAAATTGAAGCTATCCGCAGATTCTCTTACCTTTGACCAAGCCTTTGACTGTTGAAAGAGAAATTTTTCATCAAGAATCTCTCAAAGCTCTCGTATTTTCGCAGACGCTGAGAATTGAATTGCAAAGAAATCGAATAAGCGACTTGCAAGGAAATGCATAAAAACGATATCCCCCAATCGATCGCGCGAGTATCCTAGTCAGCAATCAACGTATATTATGCGGATGTAAAAAACGCGTCGGTCATTATGGAGCCGCAATAAAGCGATCTCTAGCGTAGCCCATTTTAGCACTCTATATTAGATTGAATGTATCTGCCACGGAAATAACGATGCCTCCTGCGAAGCGCTATATTAGACAAGGTTGTCGAATGCCGTTCTACAGAGTTTCCTTTAGATCCGAATAATTACGTACGAGGAAGCTCCTAATTGATTCGTCGCGGAATAAGAAGGCGTATAAGGCGCATCCCGTGGGACGTGATTGCAATTTACGCCTAGAGAGAAAGTAGATCAATAGCATTGCGTTCAACGTGCTGCACTTTTCAGCCTCGCGGGATTCTAACCGCAAAGCAGTATGTGTACGCACATTTCCCCTCTGGATTAAAGTCGGCTATACGTTTCTCCTCCTCTTTTGTTGCGACCATTTCAACGACCGAGTGACTTTTATGTTGCGTCTTTTATTGCGTACACAAAACTTGGAAGTTAAGTTTGGATTTATTTAATATCTAAAGAAGCTATTTCTTTGAAACGCGGTAGGACTCTATCCCGTTCAAATTGTAACATAATGGCACGTATTATGGACGTGTTCGGAATTACTTCATTTTCCCTAAAATATATAATAGACGTCTAGAGAATAAAAGAATTTAATAATTCCGGTCAGAATCCGTTCCGAATAATTCCATAATGCGTACCAAGGGCTGTTTTTTTGTGACTGATACACTTTTGGAATTAAAAATGAAATAGGTATACACATTTGATAAAGGCAAGAAAGAGTCTCGTGTAGGAACAGAAAATAACCATATAGCGAACACTCTAGTGCAAATGTATCTGCAAGTCATACAGTATTATACGTTCACACGTTTCTGCAATGTTTCTCGCGCGAGCTGCAGTTCGAGGTGCTTCCGACCAGCGAGATAGAGCCATAAAACCCTGGAAAAAAATAACGTAACCATCAACCAAGCACTTGACACTGGGGGTTTATACCGCGTTACTCTCGATGGAAGTGACTCTGGTCGGATCGAAGAAAGGGCGGCCCGAGATGGTCTCGCAAGGGGAAGAGAGCAGGATGTAGGAGGATGTTGTTGTTGACCCATGGGGCAGGAACAGGTTTCGAATTCGGATTATGCCGACCCGAAACCGCTTCTCCGTACAACACAGCCATTCTCCTTACGTGCGTGTGTGTGTGTACGCGCGCGCATCGACCCCCCACGCAATCCTATATAGTAAAAGCGTTCCTCCGGCTCCGATTCTCCTTCTTCGTCCTTGAAACCTCCTCTCCCGTCGCTGTTCCCCTCGAGGTAACTCACGCGAGAGCGGCTACGTTGAAGTGCCTCCACAGAGAGAGAGAGAGCCTCTCCCGATAATATATGTATATTCACCTTCGACTCGACCAAAGCGGGAGCAGGTAGCGGGGAACCTAGATCGTAAACGCGTAATCATCCTGTTCTCAAAATAAGACGCGTAAGGGCAAGATCCCGAGAAGAGGACGAAGAAAGACGCAAAGAGGAAAAGAGAAGTTTTCTCTCCGTCTTTCCTCCTCTTCCTTTTCCTCTCTTTCTTTCCCCCTCTCCTCCCCTTCTTGATCGGGTCGAACCGACTCAAGTTCGCGGAGGGTTATCGTCCTTGAGGCGAGTCTTGGGACGGGACGTACTCCGTCACGGATGACAGGTCCCTTATCCCTTGGTTGCTTATCTTGCTCCTGTTTACCGACGGCAAGAAGATAGCGGAGGAAAGGTGCGACGATTTCTTGAGCGCGGTATTCTACCAAGGAACGATTTTCCGCGTGACGGATACGAATACGGGAATAAGAAGGCAATAATAACATTTTAAATTTTACGAGACGCGTTTCCTCTTACAAGACAATTTCGGGAGATTTTCCCGGTATTAAATTTTTAGAATCTTATATAAATAGCAACAGGAGACTTTTTTCTATTAATATTCTTGTATTTTATTGTTTTTAATATTTTTATCTATTTTTCGTTTTTAAAAGAAAACATCTTTTTTTTTTACTTTTGACAGATATTAAAAATTGTACATAATTTTATTTTCTCTTATTTAGCACATATTATTCTATATAAGAGCTCTTTACATACAGTTGCATTATGTATGATGCCGAGAAGTTCTCGCGCTTCATTACCCTGCATTTGTCGCATAAGCATATCATTGAGAAATGCATTTCATTTCATGGAACGATTTGTGATTCCAATCGATACTCACTGCAGATATCGCTTTCTAAAATACACTCGGAGTATTTTGACATTTTTTGCAAAACATTTCTAAATGTGCTTTTAGTAACTGAAACAATACAAAATATATAATAACAATTCGTTTTATAACAAGCGCGATATTTCCTGAATAAAAAATATCGAGCTTCTCTTTCTATTGAAGATTTTTCTTTTATTGTGCATACAACTGTTTTCATTATATAAGATGAGGTTGTACACAATAGTTTCGAATAGCGTAGAATTTTAAACAAAATAAAATTTAAATCCAATTTTTCAGATTGGCAACTCTGTCATCGTGTGAAGAACACTGATAGGAAGAAATCAAACCTGGTCTTCGAAAATTGGGTTCAAATCTTATATTTCAGTTCAGAATTGTACTATTTAGAATGAATGTTATAATTGCAAGAATATACATATAATCGTGGAAAAAAACACGTGATTCTAGCGTGGTGATTGGAGCAAAGCCATAGCTAAGTAAGTAACGAGCAGATGACAATTCCCAGCGTCGTTAATAAAGTAAGGCTCTCTTAATACGGGCTACGAAGAGCGACTACGAGAGCATGCATAAAGAACGAGAAGAGCTGGTTCTCAGCCTGTACTCTTGAATCGCGCTTCAAGGGGTCTTTCGTTCTATTGCTCGACGACGACGCTACTTCTGTGGCGCGTACGCACTTCAGGTACATGTCCGTACCCGCGGCGAGTTTCTAACGGTGCCCCGCGTATGTACACATTAGAAATTGTTTACGATTATTACACGCAACGATCTCCCGCGGTGCAAATGTAACTTCAAGCGACAAGGATTTTTAAACTAATAAAGGACGTGCGAATGCGCGTCGCTTCCTCGATCTCTGGAAATCGTATGTCGATATCATTATGACCACAGAATATTAATATCCTCTTTAATATATTTCCATATAAATTTATAATGTAAATATATAATATTAGATATTACATATATAAATTGCCATGTAGACTTTTAGTAGCAACGCAAAGAGAAAGCTATTTATTTACTAAAATGTGTTCGCAGTTTATTTTTACATTTTATTCGTAAATAACAATAATTTTATTGTATTAAAAAAATTTTTTTCTTATATTGTTAAATGCATATTTAATTTTTCTATGCAGAAAAAAAATTCCTGTCAATCGTAGACAACGGGGATAAGAGAAGTGATGCGCACTATTCATTTTTCTACAGCTTTAATTTAATGCGCATAATGAAACGATGTTGCTTTTTTATTTTCCAATTATCACGATTCCCTCTTTCTTTTCTTCTTGCTCTCTTTCTCATTTTGATTACAGATTTTTAACCATCGATATTACGTCTCAGAACGAACAATTCTATTCCAAATTTTATAGCTACACGAATTTTTATTTAATACATTGTTCGTCTGTTACGTTTATTGTATTGCTTCTTTTATTTTTTATTATTTCACTGTTCTCCGTTTTCTTGAGTTTTCTTGAGAGTTTAACTCCCGGAACAACACTTCGCAAGCGTCTTAATCTCGAGAATCGTTGCGTCGACTGGCGCCAACTTAGCGGCGGCTGCGCGAACTTTCGAACTGGCCACCACCGCTCGTCGCTACCCTGCCTCGCCAGAGAAAGAGAGAGAGGAAAGACGACCGACGCGTGGAGCCGATGCCAAAGCCGCGTCGTCGGCGTCGTACGAGTCTCTCGCGTTCAGTCGGCGTTTAGCTGCCAAGGCTTCGCTCAACTGCGATTTCATTCGTTACGTTTCTTTCGTCGCGTCGTGCGATCGTACATAAACAAAAATCGTAGGCGCCTCGCGTTCTCTCATCAGTGCAATTCGTCAACACTCTTCTTTCTGTCGGTCGTAGTCTTTCTTTGTGAATTCTATTCGTTTTGGGGCAGTGACTTCATGGTGCGGCGCGAATATCATTCACGCGACTCGACGGGACACTCAGTTGTGCATCGAGTACAGGAAATCAGCGTTGCCATGGAGCCGCGGGATTGCTGATTGACCGAATCTCTCTCAGTTTCGGCGCCGGTGAGTAAACCCCTAATGACACTTCGATTGACAGCAGATAACCCTCGATCGTCTCGATTGCCAGCGCAGCTTCTGCTGTTTGTTTTTTTTTCTTTTTTTTTTTTATTGGGACGATGATTTCGATTGAGATTAATGAAGTGACGTCCGTCGCGCACGTGCGATCCGTATTGAGTGTCGGAGCTTCGTGCTCTAATTTCGCGCGCATCCCTCGGGCGGCCATGATTCGTCGTTTGTTTTGATGAACAAAATCGTCACTAATTTAAGCGCGCGATCGTTTGCGTTACGAATAAATCGCGAAATTCGAAGCCGCAGCTTTTCTTTAACGTGCAGCAAATTCAAATAGCATGTATTAAATATACTGACAGCGATTATTATGGTAATTAATACCTTTTTATGACTAACGTGTTACACCTCACACAGTCTTTACATACAACCGATAGTTTTATTTATGAACACGAGTCAAATTTGCATTGTAAATCGAGCTTATACTGTAATTGGTATTCCCACTAGAATGGTAAAGTATTTTTTCTTGACACGTATTGACATTTCTTGAGAAGTACCTGTATTTATCTATATGTATTAATAACACCTTTTACATTAATATTTCGTTAATGTTACAATTTTAATATTTTACTACAAAATTGCAATGTTCAGGAACACCGATATTATTGACATTATGCGGTATAATCTGAAATAACGTTACTTAATATCACTTTGTTGTATTACACATCTCATTAAAATCTTTACGTTTGCAATACTTTTATAACCGTTTTATATTGAATACGTTCAGTATGCATGAATGTTAACGTCGAGAAACGAAAAAAAGAAAAGAAATATCATTCCCGTTTCTCATTCGCCCAAATACGAGCCGTTTGTATTCTTTCGTCAACGCTGTTTCTTGAGTAAACATTCGGGACGAGGGGTAGAACGTTTTTACATACGTCGTATCTTTCATTAGCGCTTTTACATCCTTCCTTCGACGCGCACATCTCGCGCGAGAGATTCCGTCATATACCGGGTGTGCGGGTCGTTATCGCGTGGGGGGGGGGGGGGAGAAAGAAATCGAATAGCTGCGACAATTCTGGCATTTAACGATTCAGTTAGTAGTCCGATTCCCTCCTTCCTTCGGTCACTTTGTTTATGCCGGCATATTAGAGTCTCCCATTCCAGGTTTCTTTTTCTTTCTCTATCTTTCGTTTCTTTGTCTTTTGCTTCAAATGGAGACTGGCCGCCTCCGGAGCGGTACAAATCACGGACAGCGACAGAGGTCGTAATCCCGAGAGCGGGAGAGGAGTCTGCAGAGAAAGAGAAAGGGAATGATATACATATATTTTCTCTATGTGGTGATTAGTGCGATAGTAATAATTTCGCCGCATATAGTAAGGCATGTTGTGGTCGAACCGCTCTTCATGTCTTACCCAGGCACACGTTTATGCAGCACTCGGTATACAAGAGGATGCTCCCTCCCGAGCGCGAGTCTACTCCCGAGTATTGTTTGAAGATCGAAGAGAACTCTGAATAAATAATAGTAGCGTTATATGACATTCTATTTTTTTTTCTTTTTCAAAAAATGCTCATATCTTGCTCGTTATCGCTTGTATGTAATGTGTAAAAGAGGTACGTCATGATATTACGAAAGTTAAATTGTCCCCGAGATAAATTCTCATTGTAGTAAAACTAACAGTAGAAGGAAAGATGATTCATATGAAGCATCGTATGCCACTATTGATGTTCAATTAAACTTTCAAGTGGGTAATGATTTAAAATATTTCAGAGTTAAATATCGACATGTCAATTATATAAATATACGTACTATTGATTTGCTTCTCAGTCATTGGTTTTACTAATTATTACATTATTTAATAATCAATGACATTTTCTCTAAAAGTAATTTGTAAATTAATATTTAATGCAGAATTAATATTTGAATTAATGACATTTAATTTTATTGTCATCAAATTTTAATGAATATTTATCACGACTAAACTAACGTTTATTTCATTAAAGCAAACCATTTGATAGAGAAACACTTATTAATACTTGGAGAGATTTTATTGATTTTATCATTAAAAGAAGATCAGAGATTACAACTCTGTTTTTCTCTGTGTAACACATATTTATTCTAATCCAGCTTAAAGGCTATGTATGATTTTTTTATAAATACTATGCATTAACGGTCTATTGATATTAAAATTCTTTGAAGCGTTAAAGAATCTATGATCTATGAAACGTTTAAGAAATATAATAATTTATGAGAAAATACGGTCATAAATATTGTTAGTTATAAATAATATTGCGCATTAGACATATACACTTGCTTTTCTTTCTACTAATTGTTATTAATAGAATTTCACATACATATATAAACGTCGATCGATCAATACGAAGATAGCGGGCGTTGTTCCTGAAGACGTAACCACTTTGCTTTTGTACGACCTATAAAAATTTATATAAAAGTATCCCGGGCACAGCACGACTCGTCGTGAGGACATGAATAATTTATTGAAGAGTATCCCCTACGTTTCGTGCCTTCCGAGAAGAAAAGAAAGAGAGAAAGAGAAAGAGAGAGATAAACGTTCTGTCGTTTACGATCAGAGGATGTTTGGTTCTCTCCCAAGCCGAACCGACCCTTCGTTGAGTAACAATAACAGACGCGAATTCACGCAATCGTTAATTGATGTCATGGATTATAAAACATATCATAATCAACGCACGTGCAACACACAATAATTTGCACTGCGTAGAACGAACGTAATAAACTCAAAGTTGTCGGTTGTAAAACAATAAGCAAATATTTCATAAAAAGTGCGCGAGTTGTGTCTTTTTTTGCGTAAGAATATTTAATTCAATTTCAAAAATTTTTTATTTAATACATAATTAAATGTAATTAAAATATTTAAAATATAATTCGTGTATTGATCAAGCCTATCCAAAATTCGCAAGATAAATGTTTTTTCTTCATCGTTAAACGAGACAGAGAGAATACAAAAAGAAATAAACGCTAAAACTCTCTACCCAATAAATGGCTGATCAAATGTCTTTTTTTTTTGTTTTCTATCTGTCTCTCATTCAATGAGACAATGGAGAAGAAAAAGCGTATAGCTCACGAGCTAAATTTTAGTCAAGCCTGCATTGAAAAAAAAAACTTAATAAATTTTAATATTTTTTAGTAAATATTTACTCAATAAAAAATGACAGGTCAATCAAATTAATGGTTTTTTATAGTCAATAAATATATATGTTTATTTAGAAATATGTATTTATATATTTAAAACTCTATTCAGAAAAGTATTTATTTAAATTTAAAGACATAAACAATATTTATTAAAATTTAGTATACTTTTTAGTGTGTGTAAATCTTAAAAAAAAAAAGATTTAACTGATTAATTAGTCGCGATTAAAATTTCTTTTTATACCGTGAATCTATCAAATACTGCAATTATTTTAATTCCGCGCACACATCATCTATACGTTAATCGGAACATTTATGTGTTAATCTTCGGAGTATCTTACGAATGTACGTGTCGCGAGAAGACACATGAAGCAGATACAATGTGAAACGACTCAACATGAAAACCGCAGATCGAGATACGCGCGCAATTCGCGTGCAACGTGTTCGAAACACGCTGCACGTCGTGTCGCACTCGGCCTGCATGTTGCGCTGCTTTCGTATACCCGGCTGTCTAGATGTAATGGCCTGTCCGACTGATGAGTACACGTAACGGCATGGTGGCTACGCGAGATAAAAAAGGGCCATAATTTATACGATTTGCTTTACACATCCGTTTATTAGCGCGCGAGCGTATTTCTGCTAGCGTTGAATTTGAGCGAGGAACGATTTTACACGAACGTCCGAACGTTCGTGAAGATGACAATGAAGTTTCTTTTTGAATATTGCGGTTAACTGGAAGAATAGTTATTTTATTTGGGCGTGTTCGTATTGTGAAAGGTAGCCGTGAGAGGTTTTCGGATTTGAGGTTTATGGTATAAATACAATACTTGGGTCTACATACCTATATTGGCGGATTCAGGTAGATATTCATACAGGTGTTCAGAAGAAGAACACTTACATAATTTATAATAACTAAGTAAATAGGTATCGTTTGTTAGTATTTTTTATTAATGTGTGTTGAATATTTTTTCCATTAAAATTTATTCCATTTAATTTATAATTATCTATTCACACATATTATTCATATATTCATATATATTTCCTATATTTTATAATAGTCATAGTTATATTGTATACATTATTTATTTGTATGATATCTTTGCGAATATTATTAAACGGATTTAGTAGATAACACGATCTTAATGTAAGTAACTTTACGGTGAGACTCGACGATAGTCTCTCCGGACCCGTCCATAAGTTCCCATCGATGCGATGATGAGCGTGCTAATCGAACAGCGTACTTATCGCGGAAAAAGTAACGGTACGAGAGCGACGCGCGATGAGAGAAGAAGCCAGGCGTGTCCGAAGTTATAATCGCCGTGCCGAAGAAAGACTTTCGCAACGTGCCGTTCTCACGACATAAATTAAAATCTGGCACGAGTCGGACCTTGCCTACCTACCACAAGTTTTATGGTCGCGAACGCCGTCGTTTCTCATGGCTCGCGTCGATCCTAATCTCTGGATTGACATTATAGGAGCATTTCGGTATCGTAATAGGATTATCCAGGTATTAAACTCGAGTACACCGCGGGGACACTGTCTGCTGAGCATTTTCTGCCCTATAGCTTGCTCATCATCTCGACCAAGATTCTATATAACTGTACACATAAAAGCATATAAGCAGGAAAAGGATTTTGTGAAGGTTGTTCACTTTACACAATTTTTGTTCTGGATTGCGCTCCCCTTGTTTAATAATCTGCTGATCTGCTGATAGAGATCTCAAAATAAATTTTTACTTAAAGTTACAATTAAAGATATAACCTTTCAGATAGATAGAATAATAAATAATTAATAACGAGAAAACCATTAGGTATACTCATTGGCACTG